TAATGTGGAGGGGAGAGAGAGAAACACGAAGGGAAGGGGAGGTGGAAAGGGGGAGAGGAGAAGGGGCAAGGAAAAGGGACGAAAGGAAGTAATAAAAGAGGGGAAGGGGGAGGGGATAATGAGAGGAGGCGAGGGAAAGGGCAAGAGAAAAGGGTAGAGGAAGGGAGGGACAAGAGACAAAGGAAGGCAAAAATTATAGAGATGCGGGGCGAAGGGGAAAATGAATGAGAGTAGATCGAAGAAGAGGGAATGAGAAAGAAAAGGCGAAGGAAGGGGAATAGGGACAACGGGAAAATGGTAAGAAATGGGGAAGAGAAAGCAAAGGCGTCTAGATCCCAAACCCACAGAACAGATAGAACAGATAAGCGAGAACTTCCATGGCTACTTTCCGTCCTCCTTCCTTCCCATCTTCCACGGGGGAACGAATCCAGTGATTACATGAAAGATAAGTGTACCAGAACTAAAAATGGGAAGAAGTTGAATATGGAACAACGTTACAGACAAAGAGAAAATGGAAAACCAGAACGATAAGAATGAATTTCTGTGTTATGATCGAAAACAAAGTAAAACAAAACAAAAAACAACAGTGGCATAACTAGATGAGACAAATAACCTAAGTAAACAATGATAACCATAACTGAAAATCTAGATAAACAACAATAACTTTAAATAAAAACGTAAATCAAATAAGAAAGCTGACCTTAATACCGATAACCGTAATTAAAAACCTAAATGAACAATCATAAACATAAATTGAATGAACTACTATAGCTAAAAACAGAAACACAGCTTAACAATAATGACCAGTATTTAAAAAATGAATTAATAATGACTACCACAAATTAAAAAAAACAAAAAACAAAGTGAACAGCCATAAGTAAAAACCTAAATGAACAACTATATCAAACCAACTAAATGAACAGCAGAAAAAAATATTACCTAAATACACAGTGACAACCATGACACGAAAACAAAACTAAATGAACAATGATAACAAGAATAACCCCATAAAACAATAGACAGCCATAAAGCGTGAACCAACGACCGGCCTCCTTCAGCACTCTCATGGCCACGCCCCATCAGCTGATTTGGAGGGTGTGGAGACGTCCTCTATGCCCTGAACAACCTAAACCCATTGCTCGGGCATTCGGTCACGAGATCAAACATAGTCGTGAGTGGGTCTTTGTACCAACGGGGGGGGGGGAGGTAGGGAGTTAGAGAGAGAGAGAGAGAGAGAGAGAGAGAGAGAGAGAGAGAGAGAGAGAGAGAGAGAGAGAGAGAGAGAGAGAGAGAGAGAGAGAGAGAGACGGGCAGAGGGAACGAAAAAAAGAAGTAGAAAAACTGTTGAGCCGAAGACGATGCGGGAGAACTGTATATAAAAAACAAAACAAAAGCGAGAAACGTCAGACACACATACACACACAAAACAAAAAATAGATACAAAAACAAGAAAAAAAAACACAAACAAATACAACAAACAAATCATCCCAGATCGCGACCTCAACGGGCAAGAGGCGCTGACCAGAGGGCCGCCGTGATGTCAGTGCGTGCTAATGCTGTGACGGGGAGGGACTGTCACGCATCTGCCGTTTAAGGGGTCGGGCTCTGTGTCCATTGTGTGTCTCGCTCACCTTTGCTCTGCCGTACGTAGGTAGACAGGGTAAGGGGAATTTTGTGTTCAGTATTTGTTTGTTTTTTTAATGTTGTGGTTATTTTTAATTTTATTTTATTTATTTATTTTTTATTTTTTGGATTATTTTTAGTTGGAGAAAAGGTCCCTTGTATTGTTATTTTGTTTGATGTGGTTTTGTTTTCTGTAAATGCATCTCTTGTCGGTTCTCTCTCTCTCTCTCTCTCTCTCTCTCTCTCTCTCTCTCTCTCTCTCTCTCTCTCTCTCTCTCTCTCTCTCTCTCTCTCTCTCTCTTTCTCTTTCTGCCCGTCTGTCTATCTGCCTGTCTCAATGTCTGTCAGTCTGTCTCTCTGTATGTCTGTCTGCCTGTCTGTCTATGTCCTTTTGTATGTCCGTCTGTCTGCTGTGTGTCTCTCTGTCAGTCAGTCTGTCTACCTATCTCTCTACATGTCTCTCTCTTTCTCTGTCTGTCTGTTTGTCTGCCATTCTCTTTCTCTGTCTGTCTGTTTGTCTGTCATTCTCTTTCTCTGCTTGTCTGTTTGTCTGTCTGTCTCTGCCTCTGTCTGTCTGTTTCTCTCTGTCTGTCTGTCTTTTTGTCTATATTTTCTATCTGTCTGCTGTCTGTCTCTCTTTCTGACTGTCTATCTGTCTTTTTATCTGTCTGTCTCTCTATCTCTCTCCGTCTTTCTCTCTTCCTGTCTCTCTCTCTCTGTCTTTTTGTCTTTATTTTCTGTCTGTCTGTCTGTCTGTCTCTATTTTTTTCTGTCAGTCTCAGTATGTCTGTCTGTCTGTCTCTCTCTGTTTGTCTGACTGTCTATCTGTCTCTCTTTCTGTCTGTCTCTCTGTCTCTCTTTCTCTCTCTCTCTGTTAGTCTGTCTCTCTGTTTGTCTCTGTGTCTGTCTCTGTCTCTGTCTCTGTCTCTGTCTCTGTCTCTCTCTCTCTCTCTCTTCGAGTATTCTTTTTCTCTCGACTTTCTCCCAAGATTTTCATTTTTATTCATTCCTTTTTTTTCCGAGATGAAAGAAAAAAGACCGAATCCCTGGCAGCAAGCACACACACGAGACAATTACAGTGCAAGCAACATGTGTTTTCTCTCGTCAATCACCCCCATGTACTCTCATGCTTACTTCCTGTTTCTCATCATCGTCATGTTTTTGTTTTTTGTTTTTTTGTTTTTTGTTTTCTTTGAGGGGGAGGGGAAGGATTTCATCGTAACTTTTAAAAAATTCTCCCACTCTCTATATAATTTTCTTTACTCATAAACAATAATAACAGCAACCTTATGCGCAGAGGTTGGAACGGAGATAAGAAACCGTTTTTTGTTACGCCGTTTTTTGTGAGGCCGATGACGGGAACCAGCGCTGAGAATACTATTTACTTTGATATCATGTTATGCTTTGGGTTTAGAATTTCCATGAGTCATGGTGTGTTGTGTACAGTAGGTTTCTGTTTGTCTGGGTATGTGTGTATGTGTTGTATTGTATTGTATGGTATTGTATCTATGCGTGTATGTACGTCTGTCTGTCTGTCTGTCTGGCTGTCTGTCTATATGTATGTATGTATGTATGTATTGTATGCATTGAATTTTACCGTACTGCATTTTATTGCATATCTGTCTGTATGTTTGTATGTATGTATATATGTATATATTGCATTGTATTTTATTGTATTGCATTCCATTGCATGTATGTATGTATGCAAGCATATGTATGCAAGTATGCATGTGTGCGTTTATATATGTATGCATGCATATATGTAAGTATGTATGGATGTATGTATGTATGGTCTTATGTATGTATATATCCATGCATGTATGTATGTATAGAAGTATGTATATATCCATGCATGTATATATGTATAGAAGTATGTATATAAGCACTTATGTATGTATAAATTT